AAAAGAAAAAAAAAAAAAAAAAAAAAAAACCACGTCTACCCTATCCACCTTACCAACCTGAGAATCAAGGTCATAATGATTGCATAGAATGAAAGAGTTTGCCATTGTTGGTTTTGGAATCAAATGCATATACATCTCTTCAAGCAAACTGACGCCCCACCTTCAATTTCATAACCAATAAAATAAAATCATAAATATGTCATATTACTTTAGGATCAATAATACTAAAATGGAGTGTAACATTAAAGGGCAGTCCGATGCATTAAGCTCCAACTATGCGCGGTCTATTGTAGCAACATTGCCATATAGGCTCCCATTTGGAAGTGTAACATTAAATACTTAATATAAAAAAGTGAATTTTTTTTTGTAAACCAAAATAGAAGAATAAAATCATAAATATGTCATATTACTTTAGGATCAATAATACTAAAATGGAGTGTAACATTAAAGGGCAGTCCGATGCACTAAGCTCCAACTATGCGCGGGAGCTGGGGAAGGACCGAAATACAAGAGTCTATTGTAGCAACATTGCCATATATTTTCATAAGAGGAGATAATAGGTGAATTTGACTATAATCACACCTTAAATAATCACCTTCTTGTGTAGTTTTAATGCTAAAAGTGATGACAAAATGCTCTTATTAGTGCTTTTCATGATTTGTAGGCGGTCTATATATAAAGACGGATAAGGAGCAGTTTTGGAGTCAAAAGTGATGAAAAAGAGGCCAACTGTGAAATTTCCCAAGTGACCCGTGCAAAAACAGGCCGAAGATTCAGAGAACTGGATCCACCGCGGTTCCACCGCGACCGCGGCAGAACCGCGGTGGGAAGCAGCTGCAGAAGATTGAGATTCCGCGAGGGTGTTTGGCCGCGGTTCTACCGCGACCGCGGCAGAACCGCGGCAGGCGCAGTAAACTTCAGGGACCAAAGTGTCAATTACGGGATTTTTAGACCTAAACCCTATTTAAAACATTAGACTTCGCCCAAGAGAGGCATGTATTAATTTTTTAGGTTTCTTAGCAAGGAAAAACATTGTGAGAAAATACTCTAAACATCTTTCTTCTTTTCTTTTGATTTTATGATGAATTCAAGCTTAGTTTATTTTCCCATAGCCATGAGTAGCTAACTTCCTTGTCTAAGGCTTTGATGGAACCTATTGGGTGATGAACTTCTTGTTTATGTGAATACAAATTACTAGTTCAATCTTTATTTGTTCAACTTCGTGTTCGTTGTAGTTAATTGACAGGATTCTCAATTAGCTGTGCCTGTTTAGTGTGCATAACTTGGAAAATAGTGCATATTTAGAGTATTGTTGAACAACACCACTCCTAAGTATTAGAGGAATCTATAATTGCGGGCTTAAAGGCGGGATTAGGAATAACGAAGCCTTGGGTGCAATCTAAATTGAATTGTGCTAAATAAAGCAAGCTAGTGTATCTCGGGAGAGTGCAATAGTAGATTACTGTAATTACTCGGGAGAGAGTTGCGGTAAGATTAGCGTTCATGATTGATAGAGATGTGTGGGTAAATTTGTATGAGCATAAACAGAAGGGATTCCATCAATAGGGGAAATCATTGCCTTAGCTTTTTCTCATAATTGTTTACAACCCTTTTTTTTATTTAGTTACAGCCATTTAGTTATTTGCAAGTTAGTTATTAAAGAACACCGAACTGAGAATTTGAATATTTGAGAAGCTGGTTCTGAAGACTTAGTGGGTCTGAAGATAGCGGTTGATAGGTTAACTCTCTATGGATTCGACCCTGGGCGTAATACTCGGGTTATATTTGCAACGTCCGCAGAGTCTTTTTTTACAAGGCATAGTTGGGCGTGATCAAGAGGCTGTTTTCACGATTCGAACCAGTTACGCCAAAGGCTCCCATTTGGAAGTGTACCATTAAATACTTAATACAAAAAAGTGATTTTTTTTTGTAATCGACCAAAATAGAAAAATAACTAAGTACCCGTTTGGATGAGCTTGTTGTAAGTGACTTTTAAGCCAAAAGCTGTAAGTTAGAAATTCTAGAGCCCGTTTGGATTGGTTTAAAAAAAGTAACTTTTCAACGGAAATAGCTTTTAAGCCAAAAAGTAGTAACTTAAAGTTACCCAGCTTATTGCTTTTGGCTGGTTTTAAACAGTTTTTAACTTATTTTAAGCAATTTTTAACTTTGCCAAACATCGAAAAAAGCTAAAAAGAACTTAAAAGTTGATTTGGCCAGCTTAAAAGCCAAACCAAACAACTTCCTAGTTTTTGGCTTATTTTTGTCATTTTAGCTTTAAAAAGTGTTTAAAAGTATTTTTTACTTCATCCAACCAGTGCAAAATGGCTTAAAAGCATTTTGCTTAAAAACACTTAAAATAAGTCAATCCAATCGGGGTCTAAAAACACTTGAAACGAAACAGTATATGCAAAGAAAGAATTGGCATTTTTGTGCAGATACATCTCTTTAAGCAAATTAATACCCCACCTTCAACTCCATAACAAAGAAAACACTTATAAAAAGTGAGGAAAAAATATTTAGTTATAACATAATTTTTGTGCATTATTGAAGGTAGTCATTGTTGTAGGCCATAAAACCCCTAGACCAAAACTTAGAAAAATTTCACTAATTTCTTGCACAAATATGATAAGGAGATGGAGATTCAAAAGCCGCTACTCTTTTCTGCTGCTTCAAATCCTTATAAAAATTCTTGATAAATTCTTCAGCATCTTTATCAACTTGAGAATTAATATTCTCCTCAGAATCTTTTAAAGGAAATGGTGAATCAGTTATTCTTAATTGTCTCACCATTGGACTTTTTCCAAATCCTGGTAATGCCAAAGGTGAAGCAACAACAGCTTGATCATAATTTGTAGTTGTAGTATTCAACATCTCAAATACTTTTTGAACCACACCTATTTCTTCTGGCTTATACCGATAATTTCGCCTACGTTTATTGGCGAAGTAGAGGGGGAAATTAGGGCTATTACTGCAACTAAATTCGTATTCGCGCCGTGTAACAAAGGATGACATGGCTACATCATTGGATTTACAAGTGAAAGAAGATGAATATTGATGGTGTAACATTAGATTGCTAATTGCCTTACCAGCAGTTTTTCCTCTTTTAAACATATCTTGAAGAGAATTTTGTATGTCAAGAATGAGTTTGCTCTTTGATAAACCTTTCGTCAACATGTAGAAAACAATTCTTACTACTTTCCATAATTTTTTTGCTACTAATTGAGGAGCACTTGCCTCGATTTCCATTATTATCCGAGCGGGATTGAACGTCGTGTGTAAAAGAACGATTTAAGTTAAGATTTTGCTCGTAAACGTAATGGTATAAGTCTGTCTGATTGTGAGACCGAATTTCTTGGAGAGGGAGAGAAAGAGGAGAGGGCAGAGAGATGATGATGTGTTTGTTTGGTTGTGAATGAGAGAAGATGATTAAAGAGGTATGTATATATATAGGAATGTAAATGAAGGAGAGTGGTCATAAAAATATTAGTTTAATAATATTTGTTCCTTTTGGGAGGGAAAAAAAACAAATTATTATTGCACTCTCTTTCAATGATAGCGAGTGGGTTAAATAATATATATATATTTAAAAGGTTGTAAACTGATTAAAATAAATCAGTCCAAGATTCGGCTGCAAGTTCTCCAGTATATAGGGGAATTTTCCTACCCCCTTCTTCCTTTTTTGGACAACCAAATTAAAAAAGTGTATGCTCTAAAACTAGTCATTAAAAAGAAAACGGAGAATTAAGAGAGTGAAAAAAGAAAAATATATATTTTTAACCGCTCTTAAAAATAATAATCGATAAAAAAAATATGTATATTTTTATATACTTTTCGGCTAGCGAATGTAATTAATGTTGACCGACCGACCAATTTTGTATTTTTCCAAAAAAAAAAAAAACTCAACAGACCAAAACAAGTTATTTAAAGGAGAAAATGGAGGATTTGAAAATTTTCTATTAGAATGGGAATAACGTATTTTTTTTTCTTTTCTTTTTCTTTGATTTATTGACTTTACGTATGCATTAAAGAGAGTGAGCGACCATTTCTAGTGCAATAATTTCTTTTTAACTTGCAAATAACGTATTTTTTTCTTTTATTTTGCTCTGGTTTCTTGATTTTAAGTATGCAATTAATAAAGAGAGTGAGCATTTCCTTTTTAGTGCAATAATTTCATTTTAACTTGCTAAATAACGTATAATTTTTCTCTTATTTTTTCTTGACTTTAAGTTTGCAATAAAGAGTGTGAGCGTTTCATTTTTAGTGCAATACTTTCTTCTTAACTTACAAATAACGTATTTTTTTCATTAATTTTTCTCTGGTTTCTTGACTTTAGGATGGTATGCTATAAAGAGAGTGAGCGTTTCATTTTTAGTGTAATAATTTCTTTTTTGATTAATTAATTCTAGATGAGTACGACCCATATTTTTGTTAATTTCCGTTTTATTTAATTTCCCAAAACTAAACAAATGTTTCAATACAAAGACATAGTATATACACACACACGTATATTTAAAAAGAAAGAGACTATTGAGCATTCGTATATTTGCATATTTTTGCTTGGAAACAGTTAAAAATAATTACTGAGACACTATCAAATAGTAGTAAAATTGACTTAATGGGAGACTTTAATTTTCCTGCCTAATTGTAGAAGTGGGCCAAAAACATTCATGTGTGGAATTGTGGTGGAAATTTCTTTAATTGGATTTTTTTTAACATTAATTATTTCGAAGTTGTTTAATATATTACTAGAAGCTGTCTTCCAGCTTCGATGATATTTTAATTGAACAAATGTCAAGGTTCCACCCTATATCTCCCACGGGTTTAATCATTAGAAATACTTAGAGATATCTAAAATATCAAAAATTAGTATGACTCATACACTTAATGATTAGTAATAATGTAATGTAGACAAGGCTTGCATTTTCAAGGGTTGGAGTAAAATAATTGCATCAAAGTCTTTCTTCGGAAGTTAGCATGATTTTCGTTTGACACATATTGTTTTTTATTGGAAAAATTGTACTGTGTAGACGCTCTCAAAATAATAGTAAAAAAAATGGATATATATATATATATATATATATATTCTGTATGTTTTCCGGGTGTCTATGGGAAACAACCTCTCTATCCTCACAAGGTAGGGGTAAGGTCTGGGTACATACTACTCCCCCCCCCCCCCCCCTCCCCACAGTATTGGATAATACTACTATGTTGTTGTTGTTGTTGTATGTTTTATATACAAAAAATATACAAATTTTATATACTTTTTCGGCTAACGAATGCAAATAGTTTTTGGTGCGGGCTAAAAGTGAAAAAAAACCCCTTTTTATCTCCTTTTTGGATGGAGGAGCTTGAAGTAAGAGAAAGAGAAAACTTAGATAAAATCAAAAGCACCCGTAGGGATTGTGGTGAGATGGATATAAAGTTTTGGGAATAAAATATCGTTCGATCGGAAGCGCTTCCCCTTTAATAGGTCTTACACGGCAAAGATTTGTATTAGCTAGCAGTAGTGCATCCTCATTATTGGCTACGGATTCACGTGAATCCAACTAATTTTTGCTCATATGTTGTATATATATTAAGAAATTTACTGAATATCTATAAATATATGACAACTTAGTTTTTATTGTAGTATTAACTTGAGGTCGGTATAAAAACCTAATAAACTTTATATCCTGATTCTGCTTCTATTAGTAGGGGTCCCACAATGGCAGGGCAGACATACGATAGACGAGCGTTGTCACGCAACACCAACTCATCGGAATTTTTTTATTAAGCATATGTAATTATACTGTGTCGAAACTGTTGCGTTTTTATTAAGGGGTGTGAATGGGAAATGGAAGAGGCACTTTTTAGATTGCACCTCTCCATATCACCTTCCTTTGTCTATAAATTTAGAGGCTTGGCCTCATTTTTGAGACATGAAATCAGACATGTAAAATCTGAAATCTTCTCCCCTCTTTTCTACATTGTTGCATTATTTTCTAAATAAACATAAGTGTCAAGTGTGGTTTGCTCCGTTTGTTGAGTTCGCTGAAGTTCTGTGATTTGAAGTGCCGCTGTCACAGAATAGTTATTCCGTTCTATCCTGGGAGGAATTAATCTGTATACCTTGGGCAACAGTGAGGGGATTAAATTCCTTAAGGACACACTGTGCATTTAGTGGGCTCGGAATTATTTTACGTTTTGGTTATTGAACTAACGTTTGTTTACTTTTCTGATTTTGAACACAGTAATACCAACAATCTTAAGGAATTTAGTACTTTTCTGTGTTCATCATTTAATAGAAGTGAGTCGATTTCAAATTGACCTCTCTTTTCTTTTTGCCTAGACGATGCGTATGTTGGCTCAGTGTCACTATTGCGAAAGGTAATTAATTTCGTTTGAAGGTAGACGGTGAGGCAACTGTTGCGTCACTTTGATGAAAACAAAACTGCCTTGTTACTACATATTGCATTTTTGACACTTTCAAGGGACAATGTGATACTTTTAAGTTTTAAGAAAGACTTGGTTCCTCTACTGAATGCAATTAGAGGACTTCTTTAGCATACGGTTGGAAAGATATTATCATCGAGCACTCATGTCAATTTGGAGTGTTCAACCGTGGTGAAATTAAAAATAGACAAGATCTCAAAGCTATTGGAATTTTTCTGAAGAGCATCTGGGTGGTAGAAAGTAAAGTGGAGGAATTCCTGATTGCAGACCACAATTAAATTATAAATTGATAAAAATCGGGTTATACTTTCTTACTCTATTCTTTTTCAATTAATCTTCTATCCTATGTGATTTATGAAATTTAATTTTGTAAATATTAGGGAAGATGTTTATTATGTGATGATCTCAAAATATACCTTATTTGCGTGTTGGGATTAAGAATAACATATTGTTGAAGGAAAATTGTTATTATGTTTACCAAATAAAATTGATTTGTTGGTTAGTATGCATGAAATTATATTCAATGTTGTAAGACATGAATTAGGCTTACAGTAATACTTGAAGTATCTTGAGATCATGAATATAAAATATGTAAAGATGAACATATATGTGTTTGATTAAAGAAAGAGATCAAGCTGTTTAATGTGTTATAACGGTTTAGTTGGAAAACCATTTGGAAAGGGAATTAAAATTCTCGTAAAGTGTTATATAGAGACTGAAATCTTCGTGATTTTTTACTCCTGCTTCGAGATCAAAATCTGCGTGATTTTTTACTCGATTGTTGAGATTAAAGTCTTTGTGACTTTCTATTCATTTGTCGGAAATTAAAGCCTAAGTGACTTTATACTCGTTTTTGAGATTAAAATCTTAGTGATTTTCTACTCTAATTTATTATTCGGTTTGAAGATTAAAAACTTCATTGTTTATTAAATTTGATTGTGTCACATATTACTCGGTTTGAAGATTAAAAACTTCACCGTTTATCATATCCGGTATCAGGTATTACTCGGTTAGAAGATTAAAAACTTCACCGTTTATTAATTCTGATTGTGTCAGATTGGTCTGAAGATTAAAAACTTCACCATTTATTCTGACTCTATTATGACACAAACAACAGTTCATGTGGTTGGATCTACAAAATAATAGAGGCGACGTTTGAAGAAATATGTTTGGAATATGGCATTATTCACCAAACAATTGCCCCTTACTTTGCGCAATCTAATAGAATTGCGGAAAGAAAGAATAGAACGTCAAAGGAGACGATAAATGCATAGTTGTCCGATAAAAATTGGATCAAAAACTGTTGATTCCGTTTTTATAATATATGCAAGAAATAGTAAGGCATATTGTTTTCCGATTCATAAATCGTAAATCCCGACATTCATATTAATACGGTAATCGGATCAGATAATGCTGAATTCTTTGAGAATATTTATCCGTATAAAAAGAAATGTGAGTCGTCTAGTGAAAATCTAAGCGAACTCGGGAAGAAGCAAAGGAAAGTACACCTAATGAGGTGAATCCAAGACGTCAAAGGACAACTGCTTCCATTGGATAATATTTTCTGACATTCTTGTTAGAAAATAAGCTTCAAACTTTGGAAGAAGTTATGTCTTCCTCGGAAAGAAATTGTCAATAGTAAGATAGAATCCATATTAAGTAATCATACTTGGGAAAATGGTTGATCTTCCTCCAGGAAATAAACATTTGGATTCTAAGTGGATTTTCAAAAGGAAAGTGAAAGTTGATGGCACTATTGACAAATATAAAGTAAGATTAATTGTCAAATAATTTAGACAACGAGAAGGTCTTGA